TTTTTTTTTAGAGAGAGTGGAAGGGAGGGAGGGGGGGAGAGAGAGAGACATCGATGTGAGAGAGACTTATCGATTGGTTGCCACCCGCATGCATCCCCACTGGGGTGAGGATGAACTTGCAGCCCAAGTACTGCCCTTGACCGGAAATCAAACCTGCAACCCTGTGGTGTGCACAGCAACACTCTAACCACTGAGCCAGCCAGCCAAGGCAGCATTTGTATTTTTAAATGGGAACCTAATTAAGAGCCTTCCCAATAATACATCATCCCGTAAGGCAGAAAGATGGCATGCCCAGTTAATCCTTTGTTTTCTGGACTAAGAGGCTGAAGAGGTAAATAATCTCATGTTTACTTATGTTTACGTTCACTACATGGAACACTATTAATAAGTATTTGATCAACGAGAAAATGTATTCCACTTGGAAGGTAGAGTTATAAAATGAGACACAGACACATTCGTGTCTCTTCCCAGTGAGCAATGAGAAAGCAGATATAAAAATGAAAAGGGGAGAGGCATAAACCAGCATAACCTAGTTTAAGAGCACTCCTCCACTCAGGCCAGTTTGCATTCCTGGTTTTCTATATGTGTTGCTGTTTCAGCCAGTTTACCCAGCTGAATCTTTCTCCTTCCTCCGCCCTCAGCAGTATTTGCATACAGTCCATCATCTGGCTGAGGAGCCTTTCATATACCACACAAAAGAAAGCTAGGTGGGTGAGCCTTCCCATAGGGGGACAGGATGGATGCTCAGAGAGTCAGGTACCAACAGTGGGTCTAAGGGTGACGGAGAAGGTACGAACGTTTCACTTCACTTTTATATTTCAGGTTGAAGGAGAGGATTGTGCTGAGCTCATGGGCTTACATAACTGTGTCTATGAGCAAGCATCATTGTGGTTTCATTCGCTCAAATCATCTCTGAAGAATCGGATAGTCAATCACTTTGGTCCAATGCCAGAAAAAGATGCGGATCCCCAGGTATATAAAATGTCTCTTTGTAATCGGTTGCCCGCAGCAGACAAGAGAGCCTAGGGTTTGTGATTATATGGATGTGTGGTCATCTAGTAAATCAAATGCAGAGAGCAAGATGGATCTGATCTGGTATTGTGTGGCTGGGCAATGGGCATCAGGGTAAGAGGAAAAGGACTCCAGGTCAGAACTGGAGGAACTAAAGCACAGCAGTAGGAACTTGGATCCAAGACAGGTTTTGAGAGATAAGTCAGGTGAGAGATGGGAACACAGACACCATCGACAGTCCAGATTCACACTGTGGTCATGTGTTAGGGTGATAAGATTCATACAAAGGCCAGGCTTAAGAGAAAGGGTATCCTGGGAGCTGAGACCAAAGGCTCCTGCTTCCAAGGAGCTTCATAATTTTCTCCCCCATTGCTACAGGAACTAGGAAATAGAGCCAGCTACCTTAAAGGATTCCAACTACAAGACCACAGAAACTTTTCACGCCTGGGTCCCTCCATGTTTAATCCTGAACGTCTAGACCCTTGTCATTGTCGTCCGGGTGAGCAGGACCTGAGCAAACTGATCCAATAGTTAAATTTGCCATTGGCCATTGGCTGAGTTATACTAAAAAGCAGTTCATTGGGTTCTACTGGGTCAGTCTATTTCCTAGGGGGACAGGTCCCTTTGAAAGATCTAGCTGTAGATCAGAAACTCTCCAGGAAAGTGGAGATAGTTAAGTTTGAGCAAGCTTTGCTTGCCTGGTATAAATCAGAGGACACTCTCTTTCTAGGACAAGGCTGGAGATATCCTCGCCAAATATTTCCCCACAATCAGTTTTCCCACGTTCTGAGCTGGCTCTCCTACCTCACCACCTCCAGAACTTCCTGGATTCTTTACTCACACTTATTCCTGACCCTGTCACAATAGTAAAATAGAATATATATATTCCGACTTCTCTGCCAAAAGATGAGTCCTGCTTACCTCTCTAGCTGTATGACCTTGGGTAAGTTCCTTCCCCTTTTTGCGCTTTTCTCCCATCTTTGAATTAAGGCAGGTAGACGAAGAGATCTCTAAAGTCTCTTCCTCTTGCATTCTGAGGCTTTAAAACACCAGTCTGTTCCTACTGGGCTGAAATGTCTTGCTCTCTCCAGACCACAAAGGTGGCTGCCTTTCCTCATGCAAAAGCGTCATGAATGTTGAAGGGGAGAGGGCCAAGTAGTGCTTCCCAATAACCCAGCTCCTGGCTCTGCGCCACTATGACTCAGGACTACTGCAGAACCCTGAGCAAGCTCATGATCGAGCTTAATGTTCCCCTTCACCTTCTGGAAAGCACTCTCCCCCAGTCAGGCAGAAGATAGTGATCAGCAGCGGTAACAGCATCTTCCACAAGAAAAAACACAGATGCCACAGAATGATTCATAAGGGCTCAGTGACACAAAGCCGAAATTTGGGGTTTCATTTCCTTTCTTATTAGGACTGTTATCATGTTGCCATGGTAGCAGCAGCACTAGCAAACAAGCAGACAAAAAGCCGAAATTCCATCCAGTTTGATCCATTCAATGCTGCAGCCCCCGTGGTTCCATTAATAAGAATGTTCTAAGCTTCGGGAGGAGGCTTCTTAGAAATAGCCACAGATATTAACATCAGCTTAAATATCTTCATTAATCAGCCTGGGAAAGAAAGTTCAGAATATGTCAATCTAATATTCAAGACTGATAACAGGGGGGAGAACATATTATAGACTGCAGCGAGGGATAAAAATGAACCCAGATGAAGCTGGAGACACAGGGAAGCCAGGAGGGCAGTGAGGTTTGGGGAAGAATTAAGTGAACCAATTTGGAGGCAAATAATCACATGTGTAGGTGGTTTGACCAGAATGTGGTTCCCTATAGACCTAAAACCAACCTTTAAGAAATTGGGGGCAGAAAGCTCATTTCAGGCTTAGTAGGAAATAAGTCACCAATGTTTAAAATGTGTGCCTGGGCAGTTGCTGACAAATATAATTTTGGTGAAGGATTTGTGTGGGATAAGAAAGCTCTTTGGTGAAAGGAAACCTGAGGCTGGAATACATTTCTCATGTGAATGTGTTTTCTAATTGGAATTTTTGCAAAGTGGGACTGCTGGGCTTTGGGGCTGTGCATCATAGGCTTAGTTTCAGAGGAAAAGCTAGCCGTGGCCCTATATAGTGACATAGCATATGGGGACTATAGTGTCTTCAGCCAGCAGCAGGGAAATGAAGGGGGAGTTAAGAAACATGAAAAGCCTAAGGGGACATGGGGAATTGAAGGCCCACAAGTTGTATGCATCAGTCCGAAGGACCTTAAGTAGAATCTTAGAAGTGGAAGAGACAGAGTAGTGTATATTCCAGCTCGTAAAATCACACTGGCTAGGTAGGAAGTATAGTGAATCTTTTAGGATATTGATTTGCTTCCTTTAACAACTACCAAAAATAACTAGCTTTAAACAAGATAGCGGGCATATGTGTCCTGGAGGGCTAGGGCAGCTTTGTTCCATGAGATCATTCATAGACCCAGGTTTCTTCCTCACAAAGCTCTACCATCCTTTGAATGTTGCCCTGGTCCTCCTGATCATCATGTCCACGTTCTAGCTAGGGGAAAGAGAGAGAAAGAGGAAGGAAGAGGGCACATATCACTTCCCTTTACATCTCATTAGCCAAAACTTTGTCTCCTGGCCTCACCTAGCTGCAAGGGAGGCTCAGGAATATAATCTTCTGGGTGGCTATATACCCAGTTAAGATAAGGGGAAATAGATACAGGGGCAATTATCAGTCTCTGCCACACACACAGTTTCACCTGAGATATTGACCTTGCTACTTTAGAAACCTGCACACACTGATATCACTTCCTGTGGGAGTAGCATGAACCCATTTTGTTTCTCTGTTGCAGATTAACCCTAATGGTCCAGCCTGGTGCTGGTGGACATTAGCGGTTCTTCCCCTGGAAAGCCGAGCTCAGCTCCCGTTCCTAGCGATGAGGTCCTTAAAGGATAGATTGAACGGTATTCGGCGAATCCTGGCCTTTATTTCCAGAAACCAAAACTAGTGAGAGGGGATTGATGAAGAGGAGCAACCACCCTCCCCACTGCCTAGGGGAGTCATCTTGTAAATATATCTAATTGCAATAACATCTTAACAGAAGGAAGTATCGGAGGCATTACCCTACTGTTGATTACAGAGAGAAATTGAGTAAAAAGACCAAAGAATGTGACCTGTTAGAAACTGTGTTAAAATACTTCTTGACATGCTACACAACTATAGGCACAGCAGAGATGTTTGACAGGCCAGAACAAATTTGCTTTTAACATAAAATTTTCTGAAAGTTTAAAGTGGTTTTGCTTTAATTCTCTTTCTTTCATCGCTGAATGACTGTGTGATTGAAATGTGAAGCAAAGATACTAATGATGTTGCTGCATTATTTCACTGACTTGAGGTCTTATTCCAAATAGTTCAGGTTTTATAAAGCATTGTGTAAAATAATATTTATACTCCTTTCTGTTTTAATAATTTATTTTTTGCACTACTGTATCCTTTTTTTCTACATGTATGTTGATAACTATGTAAGTGTACGTTACTGAATTCGGTTGCTTTATTTATTGATGTAGTTAACCATGTAACTAGAGGGAAGTAATAATGTGCCATTTTTGCTTTAACCATTTTTTTTACTACATTTGATCCCAGTTCTTGAACCATTTTTGTCCAATTGGATGCTCCAAGGAATTCAGAATTGTGCTAAGATCATTTATCTTCACAGATTCCATTTTGTTTTCAGCTTGAATTCAACAATATAAAATACTTAAGGGATTTGGCATAGATTGTGGAATAAGCCAGGATAAAGTAAAACAATCCATTTTCTATGTGTTATACAGAGCGAAGCTGAAGGAATTAATTTTGTGGAACGAAGCGATGAATCAGAGGAGTGTCCTTTATTACAGTCTGTTATAGACATTTATCTCAGCAATCTAATTCTAAGTGTTTCGGATTTCTTCCCAGTTCAGTTAGGAATGAGATTTTTAGGCAAGCTAATACTGAATGCTTCAGAGGGAATGGTTTTCAGTTTGGCACATCACAGCTAGACCAAACCAGCTTCCGTACCCCTTCTCGGAGTTCTGAGCATCACAGCCTGGCCAGCATGTGTGGAAACATTGGTGAAGGACTGTTCATTAAGTAAAGTGTAAAGAAGCTGGTCGAATGCTTTTTTAAAAAATAACCCAAACTCTCATACTGGTTTTTAAATCTTTTTAAAGGAACCAGAAAGTTAATCCATTCTTTTATCTAACCACTGCCTTTTCTCCCAGTTGCAGTGGGCCAAAGATTTCAATATAGGGAAAGAATGGCGGGTAAGGAGGTGAGAGTGAGCCCTGGTTTAGCTTGCTTAGAGCTAGTGTGATTCCTTTAGTGTCAGACAAATCTGAAAAATAGCGTGAGGATGGGAGCGTTATAATAAAAGAGATTTGGGCAGGGAAGAAGTGAATTGTGCCATTTGTACCTTTACACAGATGAGCACCTCCCACACCCTGAGATCCTGGACAGCAGTAGTGTGTTATTTCCTTGAAGCCTGTCCACTCTGTTAAGGTGAGAGGTTAGTACCTCAGGTAGTCACTCTGGCTTCTTCCATCACCACCTGTGGCTGGAAACAGAAAAGGCAGAATGAGATGATCTGCACTTTTAATGGACACTATGGTTTCAGAGCATCATGTTACCAGGTTTGATGTTTGGAGCCAGACTGGGCCAGTGAAGAATGGAAGGATAGGCATGGTTACTGCCCAAGCAAACTCTACAAGACTCCGGGAGCATTAACCCTTTGCGGTCATATTAAATTTGGACATGGGTGTCATACTGGTCGGAATTAATTTCCATTGGAAGAGCAGTGATACATAACATGCAAGATTATGAAGGATAACCAAGAGAAATTATGAACTGATACATGAATGAATAGAGTTAAGATTCGTACGGTTCCTTGCTGTGGTGGCTGAGAGCAGACATATGACCGGAACGGTAAAAAAGCTTTGGTGGCTGAGAGTAGACAAACGACCGCAAAGGGTTAAATTACAGTCTGCCTCTCCGACTTGGGACACAACCATTTGGTCATAACACAGTCCTAGTATAACAGTTTCCTATTATTCAGTGTAAATGTAACACCCCCCACACACACACACACAAAGGGTCATAAGCTTCTCCACTTGCTAAATGTGTTACTTTTGTGGTTTAACATTTTTTTCTGAGCCCCAGTTTTCTCATCTGGCACATAGTAATGATAAATACCACATATAGGGTTGTTATAAACATTAAATAAGATAATATATGTAAACCACTTCGCACAGGACCTAGCATATAGAAGACACTCAACAAACAATAGCTGTGATTAGATTATTCCTTGTCATGGAATTTCATCAGGGGCCTACATTTGCATAAAATGCTACCGTTACACAAAATACCCATGTTTAACTCCTTGAAACTCAGTTGGGGGAATCCATACCACTGAGTTTTAGGCCATAACCTGAAGCTTTGCAGATAATTCCTTTTGGAGTCAAGTCTGTTTGGGAAAGTGAAAAGGCTGGAAAACAAATAAGGGTCAGAGATAAGGAGAATTCTGTGTCAGCAAATTTTTCTTATTTCAATAGAGCTAAAGAGTAGTATTATTTGCAAGTCTAGAATTTCTGAAAAAATGGAAGCCTTAAGATCTTTCTCCATTAGAATAACCAACTCATCACTCCCTGCTCTCCAAAATGTATTGAAAATCTTGGCCATGCCAGGGTGAGTGAGTTTTACAATCTATGACTTTTATGCTTAGTTCATGGTATTTCTTTATGCTGCTGCTCTCTCTTTTTCTTCACAACAAAAATGTATTGTGAACCTACTACGTACCATACACTGAACCAGGTGATTTCATATCCATGAACCTGTTAAATCATTTTATTTCTCACATCCACTCTGTGAGATCATTTGTCTCCATATTGCTGAATGAGAAAGCTGAGGCTCTGTAATGTTAAATACTTTGCCTGAGTAATACAGCCAGTAAGTAGCGAAGCTTGTTTTTGATCCCAGGACTTTGCAAATTTTTAACATTTTAAATATTTTGTGTTATACATAATTTTATTAAATAGGCATGCAAATCAACTCAAAAGCACCCCAGAAACTCACAGTGGGACATTACAGGTTAAGTAAAATTAAATTACCCAGCACATCTCTACTTAATCTAGGTAGAAAGGGAAGTTTGATTTTTTAAATAAACTGCCACATCATAGAATGCTTTGTGTTGAGTGAATACTTAACTCCAGCAAATGCAGATCTTGGTGAGGCAGAATTGCACTTTGCTCCCAGTAGCCTAGATACACATTTGGGTAGTTTTACAGCAAGCTTTTGTTTTTGTAGCGGTGGGAGGCAGGATGCAAGGCTAAGCCTTGGCTTTCTTTGGGATGTACTTGAACGGGGTAATCACTTATGTGACCCTTTTCACTTCTTATGAATTGATTTTACAGCAAAGCTTAAGAATGAAGAGTATACAGAGAAAAGACAGAGTTGAATCTAGGCCAGAAGGACAAGATTTCTCCTTGGTAGGCAGCGTCATTTATTTGGTTACTTTTCCTGTCTATCAGGAATCAGTCTTTTTCTAGTAGATTATTTTCTGTGTATGTGTGTATGTATGTGTGTATATATGTGTGTGTGTGTGTGTGTGTGTGTACAGATATAGATATAGATATATATAGTACCAAGCAGACATTATGCCTTTCTGCTTTGTACTGTACTGTTGCTGCTAGCTAACAACCAGCAAAATGTGTAAAATGGAAACAATAAAACTAATTTTCTGTAGACAACTTGGACAAAAGTGTACATGCCCCTGACTTGGGGGATGGGGCAGGGAACTGACTATTTCAACAATTTTTGCCTTTTCTGAAGGCTGACTGCTTCTAGCCCCCTGGGGCTAGTTAAGTCACTATGCATGTGGCACTTCCATCTCTGCCTGATTATCTGAGCTCAGATAATCCCCTGTGACTGGCCATTGGAGCAGTGGATCTCCTTAGGCTGGTTCACAGCACCCAGAGGTCTCTTACTATCAACAGAGTGCATACTGCTGATGGACTGGAATCCATTGGGGACTATGTTGCCCCATGCAGACTCTATTTCCAAGATGGAGTTTTATTCAGGGACTCATTCCTTGAGTTCCCAACATGCTGACTTTGCAGCCATCCTAGTTTACTGAAGCAGAATCATAGCAGAAGTGTGTAATAAAGATGTAAATGGAAAGCAGCCAAAATAATGGAAAAGGACAGATTTTTTCAGCGCATTCTTGAGCTCGTGGATTGAGGCCTTCCCCCCCCCCCCC